GTTAGGGTTAGGGTTAGGGTTAGGTTTAGGGTTAGGTTTAGGGTTAGGTTTAGGGTTTGGTTTAGGGTTAGGGTTACAGCGTGCTTCTGTCGCCGCGCTGTTGTCGCCGCGCTTCAGCACTCATTTGTCGGCGCGGTTTAGTCAGGCACGCTTTTGTCATTCGTGCATTTGTGGTGGAACCAAAGTATATTCTGGAGTCTATGTTATGCTAGCAACACTGGCATTCATTGATTTGGGAATTGCTCCAGAAGGAGATCTGGTCAGCTGCTCTTTATAGAGAATTTTGCTTCCATATCACTCCTCATCATGTAAGATTTGGATGTCCTACGTACAAATAAAGGGAAGAGTAATTTGGCCATGATTTTTCCTTGCAATAGTAAGCTGGCATTCTCAGTTTGCTCCATATCATGGCGCATTGCTGCAGTCTACCTTTCCATTCTCACCATACTTTCTGAAATTCAGGACTGGCGTGACTGTCCGGTAGCTCCCTGCCTGAGAATGAAAATTCTTCTCTTGCATTGGACTTCCCCTCCCTCTCTCCCTCCCCTTTGGCAACATAAATTTCTAGGCAGCAGAGTCTCCCACCTTCTGATCTGGAGCTGCTTTCTGCAGTTCACACACAACGCAATGAGTGATGAAAAAAGGCCTCGCAGCTCTTCTAGGGAAAAGCATGCGAGAAGCAGAGAGAAGTCATTTCCAGGGAACAAAAAGGAGAAGATGACACACAGACAGAAAACCAGCAAAGAGAGGCAGGAATCCTATCAGAAGAAATTAAAGAAGGACACCAAAAGCACCCTTCACGCAGGCAACCAAATCCATACCTCCACAGTGGTTGATGTGGATGACGTGGTGTCATTTGATGAAGAAATGGAGATGATGGCCTTGCTTGAAAGTGAGAAGCAGGAGGAAGGTAAGGGAAGAAATTGGGCACAACACCAGTGACTCATCTCCTGGACAGGTCCATCTCCTGAAGAGAGCCTAGTTTAAGAGATCTTAGATCTACAATCCTTAAAGTCAACACTATCTCTTTTGAGGAAAAAGGAACGAAGACAAGCAAACCAATCTGGGTTGTTAAAATCCAGGAAGGATTAGAAGACAGCGAGGAATTTAAATGTTGTCTATCACTTGCATGTTTTCGAACCTGGTAGACTTATCCTGTAAGTCACATTTAATTAAAGACATCAGGGTGATTTAAATACATCGAATTTCTGTCCTCTCTCTTGCAGATAGCAACCAGCTCTGGGTAGTGGCAAAATGCAAAAGGATTAAATTCTGTCGTACATCATGAGAATGTAGCAAGGGAGGAGAACTTGTAGTAAACATCATCACTTCCTAGTTGCTTTGCGTTTTAAGACAACATGACCAAAAGAAATCAAGAAAATTATTGCAAAGTTATTAAGATGAGCATCCTCAAAGCAAACAGTTTGCAGAGAAAATACAAAAGCTATCTAGAAATGTTAATAGTTAGCCTCCCATGGGCAGATATTAATGTAGTATACAGCACAAGCAGAAATTCTGAAGAGTACTTTCAGTGAACGTTAAATTTAGTGTGAGTTTAAAATGGGGCATGTATGAAGGATTCGGACTTCAAATTCAAGTGATAGCCATTCAATCTGTGATATGCTGCTCCTGTTGAGAAGACAGTGCAAAGCTTCAGGTTGATAAGTCTCCGCTTCTATTTTAATTTTTCTTCTGGGATCTTTCTCTTGGAAACCTCAGGAAATTAGACATCAGTGAGACCTAGCTATTAAACATTCACTAGAGACTCAGAAGAAGCCTAATAATTAGGTTATTGGTGTTTTCTGACTTTGCTTGTATTCCTGCATTTGTTTCATTATTAAGGTAGGTAACATCATCAGCATGTGGAAGAGTGTGGTTTGCTGGTTGTTTATCTGTCTTCCTCTTATGTTACCAATTTGGGTTGGTTTTAAATGATATGAAAATAGGATTTATCTATACGTTAATAGTTGATTTGTTAGAAGGTCAAGCTTCCAGGAATTTCCTGCTGACATTTCAAATCATTTAATATCAACAGGTTCCCCACTGAAATTGCGGCTGAATGTTTTTGTGCCTAATGAAGGACCTAGGTTAAGCGGATTGGGTCCTGGTAACCTGCCATTGGTTTCTGTTTTCCAAAATGAATTTGGCTTATACACACACACACACACACACACACACACACACACAAAACTACCCCTCAGAGCCTAAGCTTCAGAAGAACTAGTAGTACTTGAGGGCTGATATTTGTTAGAGTTCCTTCCAAACACAGAAGGTATATGTATAACTTAAAAACAGGGTCAGTTCCTCTTAGTTTACAAGTCATGCTTTACTTGTATAATTATTATTTTTGGCAAAAGTAGCCACAGTTCTCTATAACATACAGTACTTACCAGAGGAAAGCTGAATGTAAAGAACAAAAGAACCATGATGTTTGAGTGGAGCAGCCCTAGGAACAATTCATACATAATCATTCTTTGATTTCAGATCACAAACACAATATGTCCAGTTCATAATGTTATTCCAATGTTTCTATGTGCTGCTCATAAGAGACATAATGATTGGTTTAATCCGCTAGTTCTTTTTAATCTTTCCACTCAGTAATCTTTCCATCAGTCATATACTGCAGTAGGATATAGGGCAGGTTTGATTTAGAAAGACCTTGAGAGACCCTGTATGTCCTTTCAAGTTTCCTTTGTACGCTCCTCCTCCCCATTTAGTCATAACCAGTGGTGGGATTCAAATAATTTAACAACCGCTTCTCTGCTCTAATGATTTCTTCTGACAACCAGTTCACTGCTCAGAAAATCGTGGCACGACAAAACTGCGCTCGACTAAAGCGCGCCCGATTAAACCGCGTCGCTGACGTCATCAACAGTGCGACAACAGTGAGCACGGAGAAAGAAGGGTTCTTTAAATAGCACTTTGAAAGCAAGCCGATTCAACTTAAGGTAAGGGTTAGGT